CCTTGTCCTGTCGCAGGGCACCACTGGAAAGAGTCTGGCCCCATCCTCCTGACCCCCACCCTGCAGATATTTATAGGCATTTCTAAGGCCCCCTCTCAGCCTTCTCTTCTCCAGGCTGAACAAGCCCAGGGTTAGTGTCTCTGAAATTGGTAACGGCACTTACTGCCAGTGCCCGTTTCTAGCTTGTTTCTTGTAAAGGTGATGTGTATGTATATTTTCAAGTGATAAGCTTTTAAATAAACCTTTAAAAAAGGTTAAATACAATTCTCCATTTGTTTTATAAAGGTTAAACAAACGTGCAGCTGCATGATAAATATTGTCAAGTATCTGATTGATTGCTGAATGATTTATTCCTCCGTAGAATTTAACTCCGTTAAGTACGCCATTGTCCCTGTTTGTTTTTTTCCTGCTTTGTCAAAGGACCTGATGGAGTTCTTAAACCCAAACAGCAGTGACTGCACGTTAGTCTTGTTCTATACGCCGTGGTGCCGCTTTTCTGCCAGTCTGGCGCCTCATTTTAATTCTTTACCTCGAGCGTTTCCAACTCTTCGCTTCCTGGCACTGGATGCATCTCAGCACAGCAGGTAACGTACGCTTCCTGTGCTCTGCCATCAGTTTATTTCTGGTAGAAAGCTTTGAGCGATTTCTTTTTTTTCCTTACAAAGTGACAATTTAATTTAGTAAAACTGACACTTCCTTTATCGTGACTATCTTTGTTTCTTCCCCCAGTGGATTTTTCCTTCATTCTTTGTATTTGCTTTATGTCCACCAGTTTGTCAACTAGATTTGGAACCGTGGCTGTACCCAATATCCTCCTTTTTCAAGGTGCTAAACCTATGGCTAGATTTAATCACACGGACAGAACGCTGGAAACGCTGAAAGACTTCATCTTTAATCAAACAGGTATGTAAATCAGCCCTGATGTGTCCGTAGGAAGAACAGGCTGGATTTTGGCTCCAAACTGGGCTTTTCTGTCCCTGCTGTTTGTTCTTTAAAATGAATTTCATGAAGACCCTGAGGGGGCCTGGCAGAGGTTTCTATAATCGGTTGCTGTAGGGAGCTGGGTTTCAGGGTGTGCTGAAAGCAGAGCCTCAGCTCGCTGGGCTGCTGTCGCAGAGCAGGGGGAAGCAGTGGGGTTTAGCTAGAGAGGGTGCTAGAAGGATCGAGCACACCTTTCTGCCCAAATATGTAACCGGGGAAGGAAGGCGGATGAACCTTGGGATCGTTGCCAGAGCCGTGTAAGGCTGACAGCAGCTGGGGGATAAGATGGTTGCAGCTCTGTGCTGGAGGAGAAGGAAGATTCCAGTTTCCACGATCTGGCTGTCCCCGTTGTCAGCTCAGCGCCAGCCAGCGCTCTGGTCCTTCTCTGTAGAGACAGCCAGAACAATCCGAAAAACACGGGTAGGCCTACAGCGGCCTTCGTTAGAGGCTGGAAATGGTTACATTTGCTGATACAGCAGAAACACTCAAAACCTCCAGAAACAAAAACCCCACAAACTTAGACAAGGCTGCGCTGTGGAAGGACAGAATGAGCCTGCTCCTGTTACGAAGGCATACGTACATATGGATAGCCTTTTGGTTTTTATGTAGGCAAGCTATGTGCTAGACATATGTCAAAATACAAGGACTGTCTCACCAAAGAAGTCTAACGGTACGTATGCCTTACTCTGAGAAGAGGACCAAAGCTCTAAATACAACCAACATCTCTGGATTTAATGATCACTGCTGGGCTTTCTTTCCAGGTATAGAAGCGAAAAGCGACGTGGCGGTGACGGAGGAGGACTGGGAAGGCCCGCTGCCCAGCGTTCTGACAAAAGGCATAGACTGGCTGCTGCTGTTTTCTTTGCTCTTTCTGGCCAGCTTTGTCATGTACGCCACCGTGCGAACGGAGAGCATTCGGTGGCTGATCCCAGGACAGGAGCACGAGCATCAGGAATGATCTGAGATGGAAGTGGGGGACAGAATTTCCCACTTACTGGAAAAGCAGGAATTTGTATGGACTAGAAGTACCTGAGGATGAACTGTTGAATCTGTTGGTTGTAATTTATGATCTTGACTAAAAGTCTGCTTTATTTATCAACTACTGTAAAAAGCAAATTCATGGCAAGTAATGTGGTAAGTAAATATGAAAAAACATGAACTAAAAATATTTATTAAGCTGCTTTGATCAGCTGATTTTTCACAGACTTTAATGTAAATAGGTGACACAGTTCTACGCTGCTCTTCTGAAGGGGTCCCTGCGCTTTGCAGATCGAGTAAGGTTTTTGCAGCACTTTGGCCTCCACGCTTGGCACAGGAGCCGTTGCGTCCGCGCTGGTGGCATCTGTGGATCTGCTTTTATGGGTCCTGAGGGTGTGTGAACTAAAGCTGCTACGCGGGTGATGTGGTGAACGCTGTAGAACTAGGATGTGTTAGCCCACACAGCTCATCCGCAGTTTTTGGCTCGAAATACAACATTTTAAAGGAAAATGCTGGTGAGTGGTGATGTTGCTGAATTAGTCTGACTGTCAGTAAAATGAACAATGAAGAAAAAGATGTTTTAAAAAAACTGGTGTACTTCCGATGAGTTATCCCATTCCATACCAGCAATAACAATTCACAAGCGAGTTGTGCAGCTCCGGAGAGGGTGACGATTTCCCGCATTTGGGGCTGCAGTTAGATGCTGGTTTTCTTGCTCACTCTCTTTGGTGAGTTTTGACTTGATGGCTGTTCTTTGGAAATGATTTTAAATCTTATAAAGCTCACTTTAGTGTGTGCATGCACACCTTATTTCCCACATTCCTACAGAATTAAATTGCGTTCATTGCCCTTACTGGTTTTTAAATAAATCAAGGTACTGGTGTTTAAATAAACAAAGGTTTTAGTGTAACCTTTTAAGCCCCTTTCTTACATGACTAAAAACATGCAGCTTCTGAAGGTACAGATCACCTGCCTAAATTAGCCAGACTTCAGGTTGATTTAAATTGCTGCTGCCATGTTTGCTGGTTGCACATTCTACAGCTGAGGCTGCGGGAAGGACTGGTGTGGGGTTTGGTGACGATTGGTGTGGAAGGTGTGAATAAGGCATGGACTGGTGCGTGGTGTGGGTTTTTTGGGTTATTTGACTGCGTAGCACTCGCACGTGGTGCAGGCTTCCCGCAGTGCCCTTTAGGAAGATTCAGAGTGCAGATGAAGCTGAGGAGAAGCAAAGGCGGTCGTAAGATGCAGAGCTCGTGTCCCTGACACGTCATTCTTGGGGTATTTTTCTGGTGGCCGTACCTTTCCCCTTTGGACGGCTGAGGTCCGGTATTTCTGTGTATGAAAAGGCCATTAAAAGAAAATAAAACTTTGCTCTTTCTGCAGATAAAGCTAGGCCGTGTTTTATTAATAAAGAATTAAGATTTCCACCAGTAAATGGGAGCGTGGTTGCCCCCCCCCGGATGGTGCGTAG